TCTAACGACACAGCACCAAGTCAAGGGTTAAGATCCCCTTACCTGTCATCTTTTAAAAAAATAAATAAATAAATAAAAATAAATAAAAATAAATAAAAAAATAAAAAATAAAAAATAAATNCAAGTCAAGGGTTAAGATCCCCTTACCTGTCATCTTTTAAAAAAATAAATAAATAAATAAATAAAAATAAAAAAATAAAAAATAAAAAATAAAAAATAAATAAAATAAAAATGTAAGTTATTACTCTATTAAATAAAAATAACCACAAGTTCTAGAAGACATTCAAAGTTTATTAATTTAAGGACCGGCCCATGGCTCACTTGGGAGAGGGTGGTGCTGGTAACACCAAGGCCACAGATTCGGATCCTTCTATAGGGATGGCCGGTTTGCTCACGTGGGAGAACGTGGTGCTGACAAAACCAAATCAAGGGTTAAGATTCCCTTACCAATCATCTTTAAAAAAAAAAAAAAAGTTTATTAATTTATTTATTGGCAGCTGGCCAATACGGAAATCCGAACCTGTGACCTCAGTGTTAGCACCATGCTCCAGCCAAGTGAGCACCAAAGAAGTTTACATCTTTAATAATTCCTAAGAACTTTCTTACTAAAAGATACGATACAATAATTCAGTCACATTCTGAACCTGTACATTTCTAAAAGGAAATGCCAGAAGAGAGTCCAACCTGAAATTGACAGAACAACACAAGACTTAACCAAGTAAGTTAAAAGTCTGAACTTCTATCATAAGGCTGGGAAGAAGATAAGAAGCTCTATCCCTGTAACCTCCCACCACCACCATCAAATTTCTTGTCTGCCTCAATTCAATTTAAACCTCTGCCAAGTGTTTCCTACAAAAACAAAACAAAATGATTTGTGACACTCATAGTAATCCCTACTTATTATTTAGCATTCATTAGGAACCAGTGAGATACTACTAGTAACTCTAAATTCTATGCAGAACCTATCAATCCCCAGTGGACAATGTCGCTTCCTTCTCTAAATTCTTTCCTCTGATATATATTTTCTATCATAAAAACCTTTTCAGAGAATACATATTCTTAGCCTAATTTCCCAGTCTAGATTCTCCATAAAGGTAGTCTGGATTCATTGATCTCTCTTTCTGGGAGCACCAAGGTCGTGGTAACTAGAAAATTGCTTATGACCAAGGGCCCTTCATTTAAATCTTGCTGACATAACACAAAAAATTAAAGGAACAGTAATCTTCCCAAAACTCACATGAGAATCCCAAAATTGCACAGGAATGTAGGTTTGTACAGTTTCCACCCAAGGACTAAGAATTTAATCTATATTCTCTTAAAACCATTCTCCTACTGATTCTACACAGTATGGAAACTTATCCAACCTAGAATGACCTCTAGGCTGATTAGTTTGTTCAACAAAGTGACACAAATTAGGATCATGACACTGAATCGGATGAAATAAAATGAATAAGAACACTTAGCGTTAAAGTTTCCAAGTTGTGAAAGAAAAGGGAAACATAATGGAGTTCCCAAAATGTAAACCTTCAATTTAAGTATTTCAACATTTGAATGATTTCTACATATAGCCTTTTTAACTCGGTATATGCAGTGACTAAACCACTAATCAAATATGACAAAACTGTTCCAAAAGAGACGGGTTTCCTTTGACTACTTCCTAGAAAGCAAACATACACAGGACAAGTGCTTGACTTCAAAATCTTGACCATCCTCTGTCGGACACTAACCACTTAACACTATGGTCGAAAGAGTAGGATGAGGAGAAAGAAGAGAAATCAGGATCAATCAGGAAGCAAACTGGACAGCAAACAAAATTACCTATCAAGAAACAAAAAGAAACTGACTAAAATGATACAGACTTTGAAAAGCAAAAGCAGCCAAAAGATCACATGGTCCCTTTACTTCTGAAACCACTAACGACAGAACCTATATTCCCAGGAAAAAGGGATCACAGGCAAACGACAAATCACTGTGTGCAGAGTGACTGGTAAAATGGGGTTGGGGGGGGGAGTGAACTGGTAAACGACAAAAAGTGACTTACGGTGCATTTAATGATCTGTCGGGGATATGGGGAAAACTGACGTCCCAGACCTCAGCCTCAGTTTCCCTACCCAAAAAAGACGAGAACATGACAATTCGCTCAGAGGAGCCAGAGGGCCTTGTTCCACACGCCTCCACCTATTCAAAGGTCCCTTCAAAGGCCGGACGCAGTGGGGGTCACCAGTGCAATTGAGTCATGACACCCGGAGCCTTAGGAGGGGGGGAAAGGAGAAAGGGAGGAGGGTCAAAGCGCGCAAAGCTTTATCCGTTCCAGGAAGCGATTTTTCCCCCCACGATGGGGGTACCGATACCCGCCCTAGACCCAACATCCCCTCCCTACCGAATCACATTGGGCAGCCCCAGCATCTCTCCCTCCTTCCGGTTTCTCCTTCAGTTCCGGGCCGCCCCTCCGGCCGCGCCTCCGAACGCAGACCGGCAGCCCCTCCTCCGGCAGCGTCTCGGCGGCCGCCTGCTCGCCCACCCGCAGGCGCCAAGGTCTTCTCAACCCGCGGCGGAAGGATGCCGGGCTGGGCTTCCCAGGCTCCTCCTGGGCCTACCTGCAAGGCGGGCGGGGACTAGGTTTGCAGCCCAGCGGGCGGGCAGAGCCACTGAGAGAAGGAAGAAGCGAGAAAGAAGCACGGGGTCCGCTGTGCCGACCGACGGGAGAAAACCGCCTGAGCGCGGGGCCTCGCGGATAACTCAGCTTTCGACCCGGCGCCGCAGCCGCTCAGGAGACATCAAGCAAGAAGACGGCGCAAAAGATCACCGAATACACGAACGCCCCAGACATCAAAGGAGGAACGCCCAAGCAATCGTTCGAGGAACTGCAGCCGAGCGCCGAAAAACAGCTCCGCTCTAACTCAAGGTCCGGCTCCTGTCCAAGGCATTAATAAACAAACCCAGATCATAAGCCATGGAATAAGCTTGTCCTGCCATTTTGTCTGTTGGTTGCCGGCTGTTTAAGATGTTTAAAGAACTGGAGTTTTTTAAACTGGAGTTTAAAGAACTGGAGTATGGGGGCCGGCCCACGGCTCACTCGGGAGAGTGCGCTGCTGGTAACACCAAGGCCCCGGGTTCGGATCCCACATAGGGATGGCCCGTTCGCTCACTGGCTGAGCGTGGTGCTGACAACACCAAGTCAAGGGTTAAGATCCCCTTACCGGTCATCTTTTAAAAACAGAAAAAATAATAATAATAAAAAGAAATAAATAAAGAACTGGAGTATGTTGAAGATTAAATCATAGCTTAACAACATTTGTTGTCTATAGTTCAGCAACTACCTTATGGACTCCAAATACTATTTATCCCAATTGAGCAAATCACTTCACCTCTTTTGACCCTTAGTTTCCTCATAGAATAGTGAGATAATCAAAAGATTATAGAGGGACAGAGACAGAATGAGGAGAGTGTGGTGCTGATAACACCAAGGCCAAAGGTTTGGATCCCATACAGGGATGGCCGCTTAGCTCACTGGGTGAGCGTGGTGCTGACAACACCAAGTCAAGGGTTAAGATCCCCTTACCGGTCATCTTTTAAAAACAGAAAAAATAATAATAATAAAAAGAAATAAATAAAGAACTGGAGTATGTTGAAGATTAAATCATAGCTTAACAACATTTGTTGTCTATAGTTCAGCAACTACCTTATGGACTCCAAATACTATTTATCCCAATTGAGCAAATCACTTCACCTCTTTTGACCCTTAGTTTCCTCATAGAATAGTGAGATAATCAAAAGATTATAGAGGGACAGAGACAGAATGAGAGAATCCAGACTGAGGAACAAAGTAAACAATCTCTATAAAAGCTCCAACTTAGCTCCCACAAGTATAGCCAAGAGAAGCTAGGAAAACCCAGGGTTGTGTAGTCTGAAGTTAAGGCGGGGGGGGGGGGGGGGGGGGGGTGACATGAATTGCTTTCCTTTTTCTTTTCTTCCAAAGGCCTAGAACCACAGGTGTGCTTCTTACATAATGATCAAAAGTCTCTTTGGGTTCAGAACCTGATAAAGTGTGTTGACATTTGCATCATAACATCAATGTCCTCTTTCTGGAGTCTCTTAAAAGATGAGTAATATTCTCAACGCAAATATAGATTAATATCCTAGATAAAATTCAAAAGGACAAATAGATCACTACAAGTATGGATTACTAAATATGAGCAATAATTGTCTACCCTACCTCCTCTTAAGGAGGGAGGAGACTCTGAGAGGAAGGGTGTATACAGGCAACAAGATAGTCCCGCCCCTTAAAGAGTTTATAATCTAACTTAAATCAAAAGAACTCATCCTTACAATATTAGCGTTATTTACAATTTATTGCCACCTTTTAAAAATCCCCTCCTTTGGGCCGGCCCGTGGCTCACTCAGGAGAGTGCGGTGCTGATAACTCCAAGGCCCCGGGTTCGGATCCCATATAGGGATGGCCGGTTGGCTCGCTGGCTGAGCGTGGTGCTGACAACACCAAGTCAAGGGTTAAGATCCCCTTACCGGTCATCTTTAAAAAAAAAAAAAAAAAAAAAAAAAAAAAATCCCCTCCTTTAAGTCAACTAAAATATTTAAGAGACGTGTATATATATATTATACAGTATAAGACCAGCATCCATAATATGCCATATATGTGGACAAGACAGTGGGCCTTTGTTGTCTACCACTGTTTTAGAGGACTTTTAAAATGAATAAAAATTACAGCAAAACAGAAAAAAAAAAAGAATAAATTATAGCAACATTTAGGACAGTCTAAAAAAAAGAAAGAATTTGAAAATATGCTTCCAAGAAACAAAATTTTCATTAGTTCATGTTCCAATGTAGTCTCTGGAAATAATACATAAAAAAGTTTTAGAGGTTTAATTCAAGCAGAGATACAATTATGTTTGTTTTTTGTTTTTTTTTTTTTTTAAAGATGACCGGTAAGGGGATCTTAACCCTTGACTTGGTGTTGTTCGTATAACTTCGTATAATGTATGCTATACGAAGTTATTACGGCAAGGGAGCCACTGGCCAGCACCATTTTTTTTTTTTTTTTTAAAGATGACCGGTAAGGAGATCTTAACCCTTGACTTGGTGTTGTTCGTATAACTTCGTATAATGTATGCTATACGAAGTTATTACGGCAAGGGAGCCACTGGCCAGCACCATTTTTTTTTTTTTTTTTAAAGATGACCGGTAAGGAGATCTTAACCCTTGACTTGGTGTTGTTCGTATAACTTCGTATAATGTATGCTATACGAAGTTATTACGGCAAGGGAGCCACTGGCCAGCACCATTTTTTTTTTTTTTTTTAAAGATGACCGGTAAGGAGATCTTAACCCTTGACTTGGTGTTGTCAGCACCACGCTCACCTAGTGAGCCAACCGGCCATCTGGCCGGTTGGCTCACTAGGTGAGCGTGGTGCTGACAACACCAAGTCAAGGGTTAAGATCTCCTTACCGGTCATCTTTAAAAAAAAAAAAAAAAATTCTTTAATAGTTATTACTTTTAACAATTGCACAATATTCCAGTGAGGGGATATATTGACCATGCTCCCCATTATTGAATATGTATGTTGCTTCTAAACATTTCCTGTGTAATACGTATTGCTGCTTGTGGAAAGAGGCAGTTCTTTTTCTTTTTTTTTTTTTTAAAGATGACCGGTAAGGGGATCTTAACCCTTGACTTGGCGTTGTCAACACCACACTCTCCCGAGTGAGCCACAGGCTGGCCCCAGGAAAGAGGCAGTTATAACCTTGTTATTTATGATTATGTCTCATTGCACATAAGCAAATAAGAAGAGTAAATGGGTTGGCCAGTTAGCTCAGTTGACTAGTGGATGGTAGTGATAACACCAAAGTCGAGGTTTTGATCTCTCTACTGGTGAGCCACCAAGAAAAAAAAAAAAAAAGAAGAAGACTAAGTGAAGCAAGATACAGGTTTCCAGAGATATATAGCCTAGGGTGAGGTGTGGCTATTCAGTGTCAGGGACCAGGCTTCTTCTATCAGTGTCAGGGACCAGGCTTCTTCTATCTTGTTGCTTTGCCTTCTTCAAAAATAAATGGCTTTTACCTCAGGGCCAAAATGACTGCCCAAGCTCCAGCCATCATGTACACATTCCAACTACCAAAGCTGAAAGAGAAAAGGCATGTCTCCTAACCATAAACACACGTCTTGAAAATAGCACAGGACACTTCCACTTATATTTCACTGGCCAAAATTTAATCACAAAACCACACCTACCTGCAAGAGAAACTGGGAGTTAGTCTGTATCCTGGGCAACCATGTGCCCCCTAAAAGCCAGGAGCAAATGAATACTAGGTGACAACTAAACAAGCAGTCTGCTACATTCCTGGAGGCAGGTGAGAAGTGGTCAAATGCTCATAGATTTTCCTTTGCTGTCTTCCCAGGGCTGAGTTTTCACTCCTAGAATACATGTGTTAGAGAAGCTTCCTTCCTGGAGAGGTTGGGGGATCATAGTGTCTAGAGCCATAACCCTCATTTAAATTTGTCCCAAATAACTACATTATTTTAAAACCATGATTGCAATTTAAAAAGCTAAAGAAACTAGGGCCAGCCTGTGGCTCACTCGGGAGAGTGTAGTGCTGATAACACAAAGGCCACGGGTTCGGATCCCATATGGCGATGGCCGGTTAGCTCAATGGGTGAGCAGGGATTGCCCGTTAGCTCACTTGGGAGAGTGTGGTGCCGACAACACCAAGTCAAGGGTTAAGATCCCCTTACTGGTCATCTTTAAAAAAAAAATAGTTTCTTTAACTTTTTTTTTTTTTTTTTTTAAAAGATGACCGGTAAGGGGATCTTAACCCTTGACTTGGTGTTGTCGGCACCACACTCTCCCAAGTGAGCTAACGGGCCATCCCTATATAGGGATCCAAACCTGTGGCCTTGGTGTTATCAGCACCACACTCTCCCGAGTGAGCCACGGGCCGGCCCCCAAAAGAAACTACTTTCAAGGCTACAAGAAATTTTCAGGTTTTCAAAAGCTGGAGACTTTTATTTTGAGAAAAATACCTGAAAGCTATGCAAATATTTATCTAAAATCATCTAAAATTGTCATCTGAAAATGAAGATATTTGAGAAGCTGAGGCTAGACTGTTCTGTGAGATCATGGAAAATAGCTATTCGCCAAGCAGGGTTGCATCTCTACAGATAAATTTCCTTTACAGAACTGTTTCTTTTCAAATGTGGATTTAAGCTTCAGGGTGACAGCAAACTACTGCTTGTTCTTATGGAGAAGTCTATTTAGATTGAAGAGTGGATCACAAGAGATTAGGAATTGAAATACTCAGACCTACCAGAATCTCCTCATATTTGAGGAAGAAGTGTAAAAAATAAACCATGTGGGCAGAATTAAAGATCATCCTGGGCTGTACCACTGATGTCCTACATATTAGTATTGACTAAAAAAAACCCAAAATACTCAAGAACTCATTATTGTGTGTGTGTGTGTTTGGCAGCTGGTTGGTACAAGGGATCTGAACCCTTGACCTTGGTATTATGACATCACGCTCTAACATCATGCTCTGACCAACTGAACTAACAAGTCAGCCCTCATTATTGTGTTGATTGTTGATTATTGTATTCTGGTAGGACTCTCCTGGTGAAGCCACTCCCTTGAAAGTAGGATGGTATCTCCCCTGAAGTAGAATGACCAAATTGTCCCTGTTTGCTCAGGACTAAAGAGGAGGAGTTTTCCAGGACATAGGACTTTTAGTGCTAAAACTGTGACTGCCCTGGGCAAACTGGGATGGTTGGTCACCCTAAGAACAGACCATGCTGGGCTGGCCGGTTAGCTCACTTGGGAGAGCATAGTGCTGATAACACCAAGATCAAGGATTTGGATCCCCATAACCAGCCAGCAGCCAAAAAAAAAGGAGAAAAGAAAAGAAAAAGACCTTGCCACTGTCAATCACATGGAAAGAATTTGTAAAGACTGAAGCAGGAAAAGAGGATTGGGGCATGTTGATCTAGGAGAATCGCCTGGAATGAAGGTTGAAAGAGCGAGGGGAGAGGAAGAGGGTGGGGAGGGAATAATCTGTTCCATATCTTGGCTCTGGGTTCTGAGAAACATGCC